CCCCTCGCTAAGCCCCGCCCCCCGGGGCGGTACCTGGAAGATGAAGCTGCTCCATCCTCCCGCGTCCATGGCGGCCGCCGGGCCGGGATGGGCGGGGCTCCGCGCCCCACGCCGCGCTCCGATTGGCTCAGGCCCCGCCCCCGCCGCGCTCCGATTGGCCGCGCCGCTCGCCCGTCACCTCCCCACCTCCCCCCCCCCACCGTTCCCTTCCTCCTCCCGCTCCGCTCCTCCGCCGCCGCCGCCGCCGCGCGCAAAATGGCGGCCGCGCCCCGCCCCCCCCCTCGGGCCGAACCATTGTACCCTATGAGAGAGGGGGAGGGGGAGGGTGGGCGCCGAGCGGGACCGCCCCCTCCCCCCCCTTCTTTCCCCGCTGTTACCGCGGATCGGCGCGCCGCTGGGCGGCGGGGAGCGACGGGGGACCGGCGGCGGGGAGCGGAACGCCGCCCAACGGGGAACGAACCGAGCGGAGCCGACCGCGCACCGAGCGCCCCTGGGGCGCAGTGACTGAGGGAGGGGGGCGGGGCCAGCGCGTCGCCATGGAGACGGCGGAACCCCGCGCGCTGATTGGCGGAGGGAGGGGAGAGGCGCGAAGGGCACGAGGGGGCGGGGCTACGCGCGTCGCCGTGGAGACGGCGGAATCCCGCGCGCTGATTGGTGGACAGGGGAGAGGCGCGAAGGGCGCGAAGCTGGGGGGCGGGGCCACGCGCGTTGCTGTGGAAACGGCCGAGAGCCGCGCGCTGATTGGTCGGGAGGAGGGCGAAGCGCGAAGCGAGGCCACGCCCACCGCGTGAGGCGTGAGGCGCGGCCGCCATTTTGAGGGCGGACGGGGAGGGGAGCGGAGTGGAACGGCGCGCGGTCTGACGATGGTAAACCGCGCCGGCCAAGCCGAAAGGGACGGCTAAAGCTCCACGGGGGTGCGGAGGGAACGGCAGGAGCCCCGTAGCGTGGAATGGAGGTACGGTGGGGTCGGCAATGGGGGGTCCGGAGCACCAGAGCAGGCCCAGATCGCCTCAAAGGGCCCAAAGGCATCCCGGGCCACCCGGCGTCAGCCCTAAAAACACTCAAATGGTGCCCAATGGGGCGTCTGTGTAGCTTTAAAGACAGCCCAGGAGCATTAAGGGGACTTTGGTGTAATATAAAGCCGTTCTTAGGCACTGAAGTTACCCAAAAGCGCCCCAAAAAGCCATTGTAAGGTGTCAAGGATTCACTGCACGCCATCTCAGGAGCCTCAAAATGGCCCACATTTGCCCCAAAATGTCGTCAGTCAGGGATAAATATCATCCGAAGGGACCCAAAATGGCCCAGATGTGCCCCCAAACCCCCTCAATGTCCCCCAGACCCATTTCAGGACTTCCAGACCCCTTTCAGGACCCCCAGACCCACCCCAACATCCTTCAGACTTACATTAGGATCTCCAAAACCCCCTCAATGCCCCCATTTTTCCCCCAGCACCCCCATATCCCCCCCATACCCCGCATATCCCACCACAGGACCCCCATTTCCCCCTCAGACCCCCATATCCTCCCACCAAGACCCCAATCTCCCCCCAT